TGAATCGTAGTAGTTAGGGTCTTCTTTGTCGACTGTGAAGAGTCCTAGCTGTAATTAATCAGAAAATGCATGTTAATTGGGACCTACCGATAGAACAGTCACTTCCTTGCGAATTATACAAGAGATCATGTTACCGGACAAGTTTGGAATTTCTTCTCATATATTGTGTAGAATTCATCACGTCTACAGGTATTGCGTGCTCCATCGAGGAAAGTTATTCGGTATTTATTCGGCTAAAAGATTTCATGTAAGTTTCTTCGAATAATGAAACGAAAAAGATGTTGAAAAATTTTACTACCTTCTTAAACTCGTCTATTCTTGCTGGATAATATAGCTTATTCTTTCGATAATGCGCCAAGACCGATTCACCTGGTATCTTCAAACTGGTTGAGTTGGCCAATTAGATTTTATGATTTTATGCAAATACCACTAAAGTGTCAATTAATTTATAACTGATACTTTACCTCGCATCCAACTCTGATAGCTCGGTAGAATAATCGTCTTGCATCTTGCTTGCAGCAAAGTCAACGAAAATTAAACCTAAATTCCTTACAACAGCCATTCACCTTTAAATTTAACTTACTCATGATCCAAATTTGAATAGTTATCATTTGACTGTCCAACTGCTATGGGCTTATCTTATGAAACAGACAAGATTCCGGAACACCAATAAATCAGATCAGGAAGCAACGATCCTATTGTTCTCGAATGGCTTTCCATAATTAACCGACCTATCTTTTTCCTTTGCGATTTCGCAGAGACCACAGTTTGTATTGCCCAATATGCGGTGGGTAATCCATCATTATCCTCGACATATTTCTCTTGAGCCAGTTCAAAGGCCCTTAAAAATTCATTTTTTCGACTAGACTTTAATCCATCTTCGCGAAATGTGGACGATAACGAATGACAGAAGGGGACAATGTACTCTGAAGATGGATCGGAAATCTCTATTGTGCTTTGTTTCGAATGATGGAAGTTAGCCTATATACGCTTCATTGATAAAAAAGATGTTACAGATATTACAGACTTTGGTTTTATCCGACCGAAGCGTTTTACTTTGAGAGGAATTTCGGACTTGCTCTCGTTTATTATCTATAATAAATGAAGAGGGTTCAACTCAGGCATAGTAATGGTGGGCCAATGTCCATGCAAAGATAAAGCGGCGACTCGTAGAAAGTTACAAGCGCGTTTGTTCGGCTTACCTCCCCAGGCCACCAAAGCCCTTCGGTTTCATACACCACCCACACTATCTTAGGCAGTACTCTCGTATCGAACTTCTCCGGCATTGCGGGTATTTTACTCTTTTGTCTCCTGAGGGGCCTCTGCGAAACAGGAGGCGAGGTCGTGCCGTTATCATGCGTGCGTTTCCGGTTATTAGCTTTCATTTGTTGATTATATCTTCACGTTTGCGAATCTGTTTAAACCCTTCGATTACACAAACAAAAGTGGTAATATAGCACAAGAAAGGTAAGCGTTGAAATCTTTAAATCTAGAAAATTCAGAATTAGAATACACACGTTAACGTGTTTGCGTTCTTTCTATTAATAAGTTACCGCGCCCAGTAATGCTACAGTAAAAGGTTCATCATTCAGATGTGAGCTTCACAGATTACGGTTACACGGCGAAAACATATTAATATGTGGATTGAGACCCTAAAACTGTACGGTCCCCCCAACACTGCAGGGATGAGGTTACACGGCGAAAACATTACGGATAATAATTCCGGATTTGAGACCCTAAAACTGTACTAGATTCCTTAACTATCGTATTCAGGTATAGAAAGCATTGTACAATACTCTCTAAGTATTAACAACAGCCACATACTTAGTAGACAAAGCATAATGGGTGAAAGAACGCTTTGACAAACTTGGCCCTCAGCAATTACTACAGGAATGTGTCAAGATGCTTAACTTTCGAAATCAACTCCCTCTAGGTAATTGAGTGAAGCAGAACAGTAATTGAGTGAAGCAGAACATGAAAAATGCAGCAAACCTCCATGTTACGTACATATGACAGTTGCTACAACTCACGAGCGAGTCCAACAACGTACCTTTAACACTCAATAAACACGAGTTATCGACCACATAACCTACCTCTACGGTACAAGAGCAAAAAACTATACAGGAAGTCGTCGAAAGCGACGACCAGATCATATCAAGCTCGACAACGGGTTGGTAAATTTGTCAGTCAATGTATAAAATAGAATTTTGTAATTACGGGTTTTCTGGGGTCGATGTTCAATTTTTTAGAATCTCGCATACGCATGTCATACACTCATAATTGACTATCAAAACAACACATGGACCAAGAAGACCGACAAGGGATGACGATGCAAATCGGCATTGTGAGATTGGTTTTATTATTTCAAATTGGAAGTTTGGGTTAAGACGAACGGGCTGTTTAGAAGAGGTCTAGGAAGAGGAGTATAACTTACCAGCGGATGGTACGATAATGAGAACTTTAATACGTCAGTATTGGGAGGAAGGAGGATGTGTTGGGAGGGTGAAGGAGTTTCTGTCGAATATATACAGTTGCTAGCTCGTACTAGCTGCCACCATATGTGTGTAAACACTGACGAGCTAGTATTAGGATTGGATAAATCTTTGCCGGCCGGTGAAGATGATGATGAAAAGAAAATAATGTCCTATGCATTAGAAATGATTGTTTCACGATTAGAAGCTGTTATGTTTACTGTCTGTCTAATGGTCATGTATCTTTGGATATAGTTCAATCTTTTTGAGAAATTACATCTTCAACATAAATAACCACCTTTCTTTTTTGGGCAATTGATTATTACTCCTCAGGTAATACATGACACTATAATCGATATAAATAGACGTTCTAATTTAGGCACCTCCTTTATTATTATTTATTTCTTTACGCGACGCAAACAAACAGAGACTGAAATAACAATCAAGTATAAGTATGCACTCTTCTACCATAACACTCAGCGTGGATTCACTTGAATACAAAAAATCGTCACCGTGCCGATATTAGAACACCTCATAAAGACAATCGCGCGTTTATCCTCGTATAATGGGAAAGAAAAGATCCTCCATCTCAACATCAACTCTTTGGATCGAAAGATGGCACTATCCATTGTAATGGACAACTACAACTTAACCAAAATTTTCAGCAGGCATTTCCTCCTCCCATACATTGGGGAGGCGGGCGAGCTTAGTTAGCCTCACGTCAGATGACCAGGAACCCACGTTCCCACTCACAGAAAAGAAGATTTTGGTACTGAAATCAGTACCTCAAGCCGCCACGACTCAACTCCGAAAAATTTACAAGCTTCCCTTGAGGCCGTCAACGATAGACGGCAACTCTAATGTTCCAGCAACGAAATTAAGACAACGGCCTTGCCGGAAAGAAAACGGTTCAGGCCATCACACGATAGACGGCAACTCTAATGTTCCGTCAACAAATTAAGGTAACAACCCTGCCGGAAAGAAAAAGGACCAGGCCGTCAACAAGATAGACGCCAACTCTAATGGTCCGCCAACAAAATTAAGGCAACGACCCTGCGGAAAGAAAAAGGACCAGGCTGTCAACATGATAGACGCCAACTCTAATGGTCCGCCAACGAATTAAGGCAACAGCCCTGCCGGAATCAGGCCATCACACGATAGACGGCAACTCTAATGTTCCGTCAACGAATTAAGGCAACGACCCTGCCTGAAAGAAAAAGGACCAGGCTGTCAACAAGATAGACGCCAACTCTAATGGTCCGCCAACGAATTAAGGCAACGGCCCTGCCGGAAAGAAAACGGTTCAGGACATAAACGCGATAGACGGCAACTCTAATGTTCCGTCAACGAATAGAAAAGAAAAAGGACCAGGCCGTCAACATGATAGACGCCAACTCTAATGGTCCGCCAACGAATCAGGCCAACGATCCCGCCGAAAAGAAAAGATCGATCCTCATTATCACTGAGGAAAGAGAAACTGCCCTCAACACAATAGACGGCAACTCTAACGCTTTGCCAACGAATTAAGCCAACGACCCTGCCGAAAAGAAAAGATCCATCCGCATTATCATTGAGGAAAGAGAAACGGCCGTCCACTTCTACCGCCACCTCACTCACGATCACCACCCGCATCAATATTGGGTGGTTCGGACTGCCGCACACAGATCCATTTACTAAGTTATTCGTATAAGTATAGAACCTGGAAGTGGCCCATCAACCATTTACTATGGTCGGAGGAAATGGGAGGATTGGCCGGTAATATAGTAATAGATGATAAGTCTGTCCGATACGGATAACTATGAGAAACTACTTAGAAAATATTACTAGTAACAACCATAACATTTTCATGTACTGCAATTATGCTTGTAATAAAGACACTTGAAAAAATTAATTGTTCGCGTAAGTCATATTAGAATTAATCAAGTTATTCTTTGCTATCAATGTTAAATAAATTACTCGACTGATACGAGGTTTCAAGTCCAAGAAGCCCAGCACTAAGCCAACTATACGAATATAGAACAGGCAAAATTTCGGCGACCCTTCTACGTCTTCCCCAAACGCCAACATCGATGTGGGAGTCACAAAGGGCATCATGAACTCCACCTATTGTACAAGGTTTGAAGACTCATCATTTACAAGTACAGGAACCGCAGGAACTATAGAAGCAGCAAGAGCATCAACGCCAGCAACACCGATATATGCAACCAAAACAAGTCCACATACACCTCCGATCACGCACTCTCTCTTGATATCTGAGATAGATCGATTACCTCTGATATCTCAATACCGCAAACACCCTCGGTATCTGAGATAGATTGATTACCTCCGATATATCAAACACCTTCACAAGCAATCAGATTCAGCGCTTGACGTTAATTGCAAGATCATTGTTGGCTATCCTGCTCGAATAAATTTTCTTGATTTTTATGTATTTCAGAAAGTTTATAAGATTACTATTGTGATATTGTATATTCATGTAAGCAATATCTCAAATGCCCTCGCTAGCTCCATCACCCCTCGGAAACTCAATCACGTTCCTCTTCGGTAGGTCAGACCAATTTCGCCGTCATCATAAAACTCCACCGAAAATGGAGTTCAGAATGCCACAAGAACAGTCGGAGCTTAATAAACGGTTACGTGGACGGCAAGCCGATGCGGGGCGAAAGAACACAAACACAGGAACCTATTCAGAAAGAACGCGAGCGACGGGTGTGTAAGAGTAGAGGTGCGAGAACAGAACTCTCGAAAAATCAAGATAAAATACAAGAACGTTCTCAATCACAAACCATTCCGGATCAGTCTCAAGCTCCTCAATGTAGATCCAGACACCCACTCAATGTCAGACAGTTTTGAAGATGCACTTTACATCCTCAGAGTCTACTCCCTTCTTCTTGCACGCGTCCCCCCAGTTTCCATATCCACCCTCTCGTCTCCCCTCTCATCCGCTCCAGTTCGTCCTTCTGCATTTCTCATATTACCTCGCGTCAAATTCCCAAACTGGACCCTTGATCCTCCTGCCCGGGTGAGAAGAAAAGTTGATTCGTCCAGTGGAAAGGAATGTGTTCAGATGGTGACGGATAGTCTTACGGGCACTAGTAATAACCCTGTCAGTTGGACCGAGCCTTACACAGACTAATACTGCAGACATGTATACGATGAGGTTGGTCTTGTGAATGAAATACACTTATGCAAACGACAGAGCACAGGAATGAGAATGTATGCTAACACTGATTTCTTCGTTACCAGGCTACAAAGCGGACCATTATATATTTTGCATATAGGACTCTGACTAAAAAAGATTGTGGAAAGTAGTATCAGGCGCGTGGGTTCGTAATCATGGTAATGATGGGTAAAGAATAAGCAGATATGTACCTATCGCGAGGAACTTAAACAGATAGTGTGCCAAAGACGCGCGTAAAGAATAAAGATTGAATTGGGTCGATTATGGGAAGATCAGAACTTGTATAAAGAAAGGTCCTTTGTGCGTGAGACGCTCCATAGCGCTTGTGTGCGAGACGCTTTAGTGCGTAAGCGTAAATCCGTACTGTTCACATCGATATAGCCTTTCAAAAATCGTTACATTTTTTCATTTTTATGTGATCTGAATTTCAGGGGTCAAGTTTCTTGGCAACAGTAAGTGCATGGGTGATTTACGGAATTTGTGCCACCAAGTCTTTGTGATCAGCCTCTGAGCGTTTAATGCACGTGTCTCTACTGAAGAAAAATCTATGATATTCTGATACTGTACTTTGGTTGCGTTAGACACATTGCGGTTATTAAACTTGTCATTGATTTCATTTTGGTGAGTAGGTGTAGAAAGGTAGCGTGCTAGTATCATTGTTAAAACACGATAGTCAGCGGCTAGTTATCCAGAGGAAAATGTGTTAACAAATGAAAATGAAAGAACTTTTGCAGATCATAATAGCTCAGTTGGCTAGTACGGTACTGATAACGCCACGGTCGTAAATTCGACCTCTGCTAGAACCGTGATTTTAATATTTATACAGTCAACTCTGTTTATAGCGGGCGGGTTGGCATAGCTCTCTGTTACTGTGTCCTTCGGAACCGGTATATGGAAAGTTTATAAGAGACTCCGGTATAAACAAAGAATTTTCATATGAAACGAACGGTGCGCAAGAATCAGTCCGTCCGGTATAAAGAGATCCTGGTATATACATTTCCGGTATAAACAGAATTGACTGTATTTGGTTTAACGCGTTATGTCTTTGTTTTGTTTTGTTTTTTTCATGTAAAGAGTAAGACATTTAATGATTCACCAACGTTTTGCTTTTCTGTGCTTGCCTTGAGAACTTAATCAGTTATACGATGAAATCGCAGCGACATTCTTTTTTGATATACCTAGCATTTCCGTCATGTGATAACAAGAATATACACGTAGTTTTTCCATAATACGCTAACCACGTCTTGAAATCGTTGCATATGAAATAATGCTTGACAGTAAATGTTCTTAAAAAAATCCATCCTGGGTTTAATCAAGAAAATCTTACACATTCGTCCAGAAGCTATATTATTTTCTTCAAGAACCTTGTCAAAAGTATAAATAAATAATTTTAGACCAGTGTTGTCATATAGTGATTGATAAATGTTGATAGCTAAGGGTGTTATGAATAATAATCATTTAAATAAGCGAGTCATTATCAGGTCTGATGCAGTTAGAATCAAGCCACGTTTTAAAGCAAAAATAATACAATGCGTATGCGCTTTCTGAACCTAACTACTGCATAGAATTATCCCTAGCACAACGGATATTTTTAACACTCGCTAATTTTTTCGGTTTATCTCATCATAAAGTATAATAATTAACGAGCAATAAAGAAGGTCTACTAAAGGCTAATATTTGACCAATTCACTGGCTTTTTCACGGCGGACATATTTATTGCCTTCATTCTTTCCTCTCTTCTGACCGTAGTGATAGTAAAGTTCTATAAGTCTTGCTTTCATAGACAGGGACAAAATTATTGTTAGAGGCATTTCCCCACACCTCATGTCTTCCGCTAAAAAAGAACAAAAGCCTTTCTTGCAACGATTACAGTTATAATATGTTTAGTTCTTTTTGTATGGCAATATAGTATACTTCCATTCCTACAGTAAAATATGTTGATGGCTGATTTCAGAATTTTACATTACAGTTGCATAGAAACCTGATGAAAATTAAAATCTTAGAATTATATTGTCGGCCAATGCGAATTCAATATGTTTTTACTATTAATAACAACTAACCAGAAAAAGACAAAAAGGTCATAACGGCAAATTCACATCAACGATCATTCAATATCAATAGACAACAACTTTACTGTTCACCCGGTTTTGTTAGCGTAATGATGATTGCATGCTGTACATTATTTGTGTGACAAGTTCTTTAAGATGAGTTTATGGTCATAATCACAGTCGATATATCTATCTAACAGACAAATACGAAATACAGCACCAATAAGTAAAAGCTTATATTTCTCCTATCAGCATAGTGGCTGTCTTTTATTGTCTTACTCGACAAACAAGCTCGAAAGATTAAGTCTACAACAATCTCGCAATAATTCCTTGGTTAAATATTAATAACCTAAAAAAGGGAAAGCATCCGTTTTACCTTCTCATACAATGAATGAAGCAGCGAATTTGTATGCAATAAATAAACCATTGTTATATATAATATCTTAATACATTAATACGCTAATATATCGATAAAAGTTTCACGTTATAGAAATGGTCTGTTATCATATGAACATTATCATTAATATTAATAATTGCATACGCTTAATAAAGTGATTAAAAGTAAGATGCTTAGTCCACCGGCAAAGCAACAATCTTGCCAGTGCTCTATTCAGTCACAAAGATTCAGTTTATCGAATATAATATTATACGGATGAGTGCGCCCGGCTCTCTTTTTAGGTATTGAAGACGTCCTCATATAGCGCACTAATTTCATAAGCACGTCACCTTGCAAAAAATTTTCCATATGTTCAACATCAAATATCTACTGCAAACAGTATTCGTTATTCTAGGCTACCAAAAGTTTCAACAAAGGCAACCCAAACGGTTTTTAGGCCCCTGATTTCATCGGCACCAATGATTTTGCATACCCATAAAATGGTTATTGCACGCAATTGGTATGATAATCATAACATACGGTCTGTCAATCTGTTACGTCCCGAAAATACCGATCTCTAAATATGCAATTCTGTTATATTCGTGTCACATTCATTGTATATAAATACTATCCACTTACATGATATTAATTATACGTCCACATAATATTAATACCTTTCTCACGCATACGTTGATCCACGTTCTACATAATATTGATATTTTTCACACCGGATAGTCTACATAATATTAGTGCTCTCTCACATAGCATATATTGTCCACACCCTTCCCTTGCTTACGAATATGGAAGCTTTAAGGCTCGCGCAGTTATATACACAATTAAACAACAATCGAGTAGCGTTTGAATTCTATCAACAAGCCGCTGAACAAGGGCATCCTGTTGCACAATGTTTTATTGGCGCGTGCTACAGCAACGGAACGTTCGTAGAAAAGGACGATAAAAAAGCCGTTGAGTTGTTTCAAAAAGCGGCAAACCAAGGTTATTCTGCTGCGGAATATAATCTCGCCGTATGTTATTATTTCGGATCTGGGATAGAAAAAAATTTCTACAAGGCGTTCGAGTTGTACCAAAAAGCTGCTATACAAGGTCTGGCCAATGCACAACATAACCTTGGACTTTGCTATCAAAAAGGAATTGGAACGGAAATAAATTATCATAAAGCCATAGTATTATATCAAAAGGCTATCGAACAGGGCCATATCCTCGCACATTATAGACTCGGGGTGTGTTACCATTTTGGATATGGCGTGAGAAGAGACTACCAAAGAGCAGTATGGTTTTATAAAAGGATCGCTAGAGAAAACGTGTTTGGTCAGTATAACCTTGCTTGGTGTTATCAACATGGACTTGGTGTAGACAAGAATGAGCAGATTGCATTCGATTTATATCAAAGGGCAGCCGAAGGAGGATTTATTGATGCGCTATTTAGCGTTGCTACATGTTATCATGGTGGCATCGGAGTTACCAGAAGCGTGAGAACAGCAGTTGAATTGTATATCAAATTGGCAAAGCAAGAGCACGCTTGTGCACAATATAATCTCAGCGAGTGCTATTGGCATGGCATGGCAGTACGACAAAGCGTTCAAAAGGCTATTCAATGGCTGGAAAAGGCTGCTAAACACGGTTATGCTAAAGCAGAATACAGACTTGGCATGTGTTACTTGAACGGAATCGACGTAGAAAGGGACTATCAAAAAGCAATCCCGTTAATTCAAAAAGCTGCCGAACAAAAACATTTCCGTGCCCAGCTTGCACTCAGTTCGTGCTATTGTACTGGAACTGGCGTTGAAACCGATTACCAAAAAGCAGTGGAATTATTTCTGAAAGCAATTGACACGGTCTTGTCATTGTACAACTTACAAGTCATTATCGAAATATTGGAGTAGGGAAAATTGCTTAATAAATGGTTACTTGTCATAAACAAAAACAAAAAATGCGAATGCGATAATACATTATTCAAATAGATTATAACAGCTAAAACCGTTTATTGTCGCATAGTAGGTATATTAGAATACATTATAAATGGTAGTATCAGGGTATAGTAAATGTGCTAAATTTTATTTTATTTCAAACAATAAAGCCAAAGTCTGGTCTATTACTCTATGTCTCTGTTCGTCTACTTTCTAGTGTAAATAATCGAAAGGATAAAACACCGTTGAATTGGACTTGTCATACTATAAGAGACTGACAGGGAAACTTATTAACACATTTACAAAGCGACTTGTCTAAGGTTAATTACATTAAACTCGAAAATATATTGCATTATGAAATAAAAACAACGTTTTTAGATTACATTCATGTCAACAATCAAAAGCTTTGCTGAACATGTTCGATGCCGTAACCTTCTAGATATCATAAATAGGAGAAGAATTGCCGATTTTTTTTTCTCTCATAAACTGTACAGGGCATATACCTATATTCTTTATTCTTTATTCGACTAGCAAGATAATCGAAACAGTTACATTGAGGTTGGTATAATCGAGAATATTTTTTAATTTTATATACAAAAATTACTGTTCGTGTGGATAGTACAATAGTTATGGAAGTACATAGTTCGAAGTACATTCTGTATCTGGATGATCGTCATTGCGAATTCGATTTACTGCATAAACAGGATTTATTACAAAGACTTCTATTAAATTCTTGTCCATAGAAGCTCAACTGAATGGTTAACAGAGTGGACAAAGCTCTCGTTACAAAAGAACAAAATTCTCGTTCAAAAAATGTATCTACAGTATAAACAATAACTAATAAGCATTTCAACAAACTTTCATTTTTTATTTACTACGGTTATAACATAACGTTTGGGAGAAAGGGACGAATAAATGAAAAATGCTATGAGCAAAGTTAGCTTTATCAAAAAGGTTGTTGTTTCAACGAACTTATTTAATTCTATTTTGAAATAACTGATAACGCAGTTACTTGCTAGTAAGGGATAATTGAAAATTATACGTTCTATGATCGAGATGTAATCGATAACGTTTTCTTCTGGACACGGACAACCACGTAATAAAATATTAATATCTGCGGCGTAAATTAATGTCTAGACAATATTAATATAACGTAATAAAATATTAATATCTGCGGCGTAAATTAATGTCTAGACAATATTAATATAACGTTGAGCCATTAAATCTAACAATCCCAACATAAAGTAGAATATATGGTTACGCATATAAACAGCTATCCATTTGCATCGTCTTACCCATTATGAAATCAACTTAACTTTGGAATGAGCAAAGCAGCAGAAGCGCTTCAATTTTACCATGCTTCTAAAACACTAACATATTTAGTCCCGTTATCGTTTTAAGGCTGCAGTTTGATAAAGTGGCGGTATCGATATTTGTTCATTTATACAATGGTGGCGGAAAATAATGAGAAAACCATGCAATTACTTTAGATAAGATTTACATACTCTCTATTTTGTTTACTATGAAAACTTTATATATAGACAGTTACAAGACATCAGATAATAAATATAAAATAAAACTAGAGGTGTACGTGGTATAAAAATAATATTTGGACCAACAACGCGTTTTTTGTTTGCTTTCATAATTTTTGCTATAAAAAATGCCTAATTAACTTACATTAATCCAAAGACGTTCAAATGTCGATAATAATAATTTGTGGAATTTATAATATATCGCAGCTTCATAAGATAACACGTACTCCCTACCTATTTTGTATAAAAACGTTCAGTATTAGCTTCCACTAAACCGAAAATTATGTTCAAAAAACTTATTACGGAAAGATGTTTCTTGTTCATAGGAAGCTATTGAATTTAACTGTTTTATTGAAGATGTGAATGGGGAATTTTAGCTGAAATTTTAACAGATAATTTTTTCTCAAAAGCACTAACCTACCAAAAGTATACAACAATCGATAAAAATGAGATCAAATTTAAATTACTCAGCAAGTAATGATGCAAATATTCTGAAATTTAGACCAAATAAACTATTAAGTTTTTGTCTTATATTTATATGAGGATAAAATTTTTTACCATAGCACATATTTTGGGTAATAAATCGACAAATTTATGCACTACGTAAACTTTTTTTTAAAATTATCGGACATAACAAATAGCGTTTTAAAAAAAAAGTCTGCTAGAATATCCTGGATATATGTGGAGATGAAAAAATTTTTAAATATATTGCTTAAAAAAGGCTAGTGATACAACTTTTCTCTAAAATATTTATAATGTAATGTACAGTATTATTACCAAATCTTATTACCATAAATATCTATCTGTATATAAAGGTAATCAAGATTTCACATCTTTTGTTTACATATTCATACACGATTCGTTAGAATGACCAAAGGACTTGAATTAACCGACTTTGAGCGTGGTTTTATCATTGGTGCTAGCAGTTTTGGTCATTCCAGAAACACTGTGCATACTGTTATTGCCAAATATGAAGAAATAAGGCAACTACAGCTGCAAAATGTAGTGGCAGGCCTTGTATATTAACAGAGAGAGATGAGAGGCAGTTAAAACGGATCGTAAAAAGTGATTGCAAGCAACCACTTAGTATAATTCGTAAAAATTTGGCTGAACGGTTGTTAGTATTAGCAAGTCCGGAGGAAGATTTTACCATGTGACTTACTATCAGATCAGCAATAATAATAATAAACGAATGTCCAATTCGGAAGATTTTATGGTGGCGTCGTATGATATCACCGATGGGAAGCCTGCAAGAATGTATGAGTAGAAAGACAAGTGGTAAGTATACAGATAAACATATATAATTTATTTATAACATACCGATATAACGTAGTTGGCGTAGAAAATCGAAAATGATAGATGAGTCGTTAAAAGCGAGACGTGGTGTTCGATTGCCGCATGGTGAGTATTTAGTTCTATTACACGAACATCATTGTGCTGCTTTGAAGGTGCATAAATTTACGTGACACTCAATTTATTACATAATATTAATGCAGAAATTTTTGGCCCGACCTATCCAAATCCCATAAATGGCTGGTTTTTGGGACAAGAATTTAGTTTCACTGCAGATATCAATATTCAACTAAAAGAAGTCACGTCTTCAAGTTTACATAGTCCATCCTATTTATCGATCGTAGAACATACCATTTTCAATTATCCTTGTTAGCAAGCAATGCATTATCTATTATTTAAACAAAGACTCGTTGAAACAACAGTCTTGTTGGTTTGCAATGTAGAGCTAACTTTGTTATTCACTTATTCGGCACTTTCTCCGAAACTTGGATAAACACGTAAGTTGTCCTTATTCATAAAGAGCTGATCTTATTTATTTAATCGTCTTAAATAAAATCAATCTGCACAAACTTTTGTTCAATTCAGGAGTAATATGTTATTAGTCATCTTAAAATAGGTTAATAAAGTCGTTCTAACAATAATCCCGTCCACTCTGACCATGTTAGTTTTAAGGTTTTCTATTGATTGAATGATTTCCCCTTTTAGGTCCAAAAGCAACAAGGTAAAAGGTTTGGCTCACAAGTATTGAAGAGATACCATATACCAGTTTCTATAATAATAACTAATATGCAAGAGTAAAGCATGAAGGGATCTCCTGCATAATCATGAGAAGTTCACAAGGTAAGAACACCATGCACAGGAGACAAGACTGTGCTTTTTTATGACGAAATTTACATTCAATTTGACACAGCCAATCAATCACTGCTGATCAGCAATGACAGTTTTCTTGACAGTGGTGAAACGTAAATTAGTTATATAAGAGTCGTAGCCAAATCATCGTTCAGATCAGATCATTCAGCAAGACGTTGCTATTCGGATAGTTCTTTTATTCTAATAAAAATCCTATTTAATTATAAATATTGTTATTTTCGTTTATTCCCTGCCTGATAAGAGATACTTAGCGTCGTTGGCGAAGTGTAAAACGCTTTCCCCGTCATCGGCGAATAGAATTAATACTTGCCAATTAATTCTATTTAGTACTTTTGCATTCAGGATTATTGTTTAATTTTACTAGTAGTTTTAGATAAGATAATTTCCCCGAACTGATAGGTTGTGAGACTAATCCCATCAAAGAAATCGCAGAGATACTCGAGGTTAAACAATAATCCAGGAACGGCGTATACAAGATCGATAATATATAGATCGTGATAGTGAGTATAAATCCTAAGTAAAGATCACTAATTATATTTGTATAGATATTTAGTTTGAAGTAGGAAGAGCAAAAGCTTCCGTTGGAAAAGGAAAATGAGATTTAATTTATTGCCTATCACGGTCAACATTTCAATATCTGCTGCAATATGACTGTGAAAACAACAGCAACCTGTGGATGTGACTGGTCGAGACATGGAATTTATACGAACGTGTATTCTCGGATATCATTACAGCATTATGTATAGTATCATGCTGTAACTATAGGATGAGAATCCTGAAAATGAAAAATACGATCAGTGTGCGAAGCGAAACAAAACAATGAATAACGGGTATGAAATGTCTATACAGTCCATTCTATATACCTTGGAATGTTAGTAACCGCAAGTCTTTTCCATTCAACGCAATGAAAGCGACGTCGACAGCAAAGACGAGTGTAAGAGCAAAAAGCGCACTATTTGGCCCTAATTGAAAAGATACGAAAATATAGAGTCAATGTTTGCACAGCCACATAATGTATATAATTGATATGAATTATGCACTACACCTCTGGGTTCATACTTGCCAAGAGATAACGTAGTCCTATCAAAATACTGCTGTCCCGCGACAAGCGCGTAAAGGCTCAAAGACTGAGCAAAGATGATGGGCATTATATATGTTTTGCCAGAACTGAAGAAGGCAATCTTTTTACAGTTGGGGTAAAAAGTTTCACGAAATTCGTTAGTTAATCATCTCCACTCCTCAGAAAACTACCCACGGATAAGTTTCGCTTCATCTTTTTACCCACGGCAACATTAAACCCCAAATCTCCATCAACCACGGGAGCAATTTAATGCCTCCCTCGAGATTAACAATCATAATCTCCGACGCTTTTGATTGACTATCCGGAGGTTGCAAGTTTGAACGTCTAGTCAACACATGGGACTGAAGACCAACAAGTGATGATATGTAACTAGGATTAAGAATCTAGTTTTATTATTTCAAAATGGGAAGACAAACGGACGGATCAGAAGAGAAAAAATCGAGCTCTGTCTAGTGATAAGAAGAGATAATGTGCTATGCATTAGAACACTAAAAAGGTAGTTTCACGATAGAGGAGGCAGGAACCACCAGGAGAAAAGCTAAATCTAACCTAAACGGCTCTACGACTTGAAAGAACTTGTAGTATTTCGACTCCGTTCTTTAATTTCGTCATCAACAAAGACGACGGTCAAATTGTATTTGATCATTAATAGAAAATTCCGTCTCTTCGCTTAGTTCCCCTTCCCACCCTTAACTCGATACATATTATTTGGCCAAATTCGCCATCATATTCGATATCTTGTTCGTTTCATATGAAAGTTCTTTGTTTACTCTTATAAATAATATACCGGGTACACAGAGAGCTTATGCCAACCCGTCCGGTATAAACAGAGTTGACTGTACATATTTTTTTTTCAAATCGACCTATTTCTTATGAAACTAAAAACCCCAACAAGAAATTATATTACATTTTTGGAAGATATTCACAAAACGGCGCGAATTCCAATGCGGACTATCTGAAAAAGATGGTGCTTTGACTACAAAAAAAAGGAGTCGGTCAACTTGAGAAAATCACGTTTAATGTCGACCCTTAAATTTTGACTATGCTATTTGCACTTTGCTTTGGCCATTAAGAAAAGTAATTTATCTTGTCCTGTAGATTTAAATGAGCCAAAACGCGTACTTAAAGGATGTATTTTTTCAAGTTATTAGGACTATAATAGGGTACTATTCTTAGACTAAACGGATAAACCAATTGAGTAGTAATGGAGCCGTTATAATACCCATGCGTTTAACAATATAAACTGTTAGTTAATATTTGCGATAGATATTTATTAAAAATGTCTCATCTCACATCAGGTTGTTTACTTTAGAGAGTACGCAACGTGTTCGACATACTCGTGAAATATGAATGTGAACCAGAGCAAGAAGCACAAGATAATAAAAGCTCTGAATATGAACAAAATATTAGAAACAATGTAAGGGTTTAAGAAAGAAGGGGAGAGAAAGTGGGAGATGCAGTATGAATTAAAGGATGCAGTTAGCGATCGATACTGTAGATAAGCAATTTTGTTGATGAATCCAAATTGTGCCAAACGTTATTATTTTAGAACTCTATTACCAAATGCTTTACATAAGTACGTCAGTCATACTATTAACGTGGTACGTGAGAGCATACCTGGAAATTCTCTTCACAAACGGCGTGTAATATGACGTATAAACATACTGTATGGTTTTTCAAATCTTATATATGAAGAAAAACTTTTTAAAACCTGGCCACAAATATATTATTTTATCATTGATCTATTTGCCCATATAGATAAAACGCGTACTCAATATACAGTTTCTTGTTTGCCAATTTGGAACAACATCAGGTCTTTGATTTGTGTTTACACCATCAACGCTGACGAGACACTGTATACACTGTACTTAACTATTGGTGCGACCAGTATGTCTGAACGTTTTACTATTTTGAAGATAAAGTAAACAAGGAATTGTCTACAAAAATTGTTACGCGTTTACAGCAGTTTGATATTAGTAATCTAGCTTCCTTGACAGATTTTGTAAACCATCTCGGGCAAGATATTTTAGAAGCAATGGATTTGATAAAATAATAAAGGGCTTTTATTATTATGGTCGACACTTGATTGCTGCGTACATGAGTATCAAAGAATATAAGAATAGCATGAGAGATATGATATGATACGATACTATATAATTGCTATATAGAAAAGAAAAAGAAAATTGAACTTTGTGTTGAATTGTGTTTGTGATTCTCAATACTGCGTAAAAAGAAACTTCTGTGTTGAATCGTATTTGCAATTTCTCAATACCGCGTAAGTATTTATGCCAACTGACCGACATACAGTAAGTTGTAGTGTCACAGATTGATTTTGTTTACATAATAATGCAATTAGATCCAGCAGGACCATCATTCGGATTGGTTCCGTAGCTCTTCACCTTGGCGACAGCAAGGAAAATAACCGTAAGTTTGATGACTGAGTCCATTTGTTGAGTCAGGGCGGAGGTTATGGCGCAGACTGTGTGAAACATTGGAAGTAAAGCGCAGAAGATAAAGAGTATGATTTTGTTTTTGTTTGATTTGAATTTAGATCGTTGTTGTTGTTGGGAGTCGACTACTGCTTGTATTTATAATCATGTCTCATTTAATACGTAATCGTGAAGGTGAAACTGTTTGGGTTTCAAGTGCAATTGAATAACGTACGAATGTAGGTAAAAGAGGATGCGTTTCACTCCTATAAAATAGTAATAAAGATCTTATTGGATAGTAAGGGTTGGTCTAATTACTAATTTACAATAATAAAACTATTGTATTCTAATTATTAGAGCATATGTAGCCAATAAAATAACGATACGTATAATTGGCAAAAATGCTAATGTATATTATATCTTTTAACTATTGAACACGAAACAACCATTACATTAATGCAGTAGTGTACTTAGAATAAGCCCATGCGACAACAGATGTAGCATAATACGCCTTGAAACCTAGTCGTTTGTCAATGTTTTACAAGATCACAAAAGGTAATTGTTATGAACAGAATTAGCAAATAATTCCATTTCAAATACCCACGACAGTGTGTGGTATTCCATACGAACACTGCGGATGCTGAAACAACAATATCAGCCATTGTGATTGTTAGTTGCGAAATTTAATCAAGATACCGACAATCAATATATTGAAATAAGCGATTGTTAGTCACAGAGCATGCATTTATTATTAGCAACGTGCATGTGAATAGATGATGTGATCGAAGAGCAACTCGTATGCAAGTGGCTTTAGTTATTTGTTTTAGTACATGGTTACTCAAGCGTAATATTTTACTATCAGATATAGAACATATTAATAGATCAGTTTAGCAATAATGGCTTTATATTCAGAGTACTAAAAATCTATGCAACGAGCAGGCGCTTGTAAAGTATATTTACTATGAATGAACGATACGCGTACTTTATTGCAGAGTTGGTGTAACTACATGGTTTAAAAGGTTGATTCGTTGGAATTGCTTCCATTATAAAATGAAGAATGTTCAGAACACTAACGGAACAGCATTTCTTACTATGACTGAAAACTGAACTTGCCTTAGTTAAAGTATTATCATGATCATGGTCAACTACTGTTGGTGTCGTTGATGGTAAATCACTGTATATGTAGCACCCACAATCTAATACATTTAAACCAATAGAAAGACGAGACGATGACACTTTAAATTCTTCTGTATAGTCTTTTTACTAATAAATTTCTTGTTATGGCTTTAATCTCAAGAGCCAGGATTACAAAATCAAAATGCCCATAATGAGAAGAAAGAAATTTTACTACCAAGATCTAAACAGAAAGGTATCCAATACGACTTGTAACTAACATGCCCTTATCATATCTAACTTCAAACCCACGTTACGTTATATGTAGACCATTTATAACATGATATCCAAATATGTAATTCAGTAGACAAAAACAAGAAGAAAGGCAACAACAACTGATAGCAATACAAAAAAACAGGCAATAATAATGACCAGAATTCCAATAATGGTATGATCAATTTCATTCGATATTGAATAACTAATGTTTAATATTATCGCCAGTAAGTAATGGTTACAGAATATCATAACAAAGTTTGCTTTACGGCAGATATTATCTCACCTTAATCTGGGGTTCCCGAAAGAAACCTCGTTCGTGGGTGCTGGCCCGGGAATCGATAGATGGCTAAAAAAAGAAAAAAGAGGCATTGAAAATAATTAAAACGGTGACTAGCAAATTGTGAGTAAGCGCATTTCGTGATAACATTAATTGAGACTACGAACCTAGAGTGAACGTAATCATTTCCCGGTTCTTTTAGGAGCACGGCGCACGTTGCCCAAAAATAAACGAGGGCGACGACGAACAGTTGGTGTCTGATCAGTCGCATTGTACGGAAAGGTATGTGTGTGTGTGTGTGTGGTGGATGGATAATAAGTTGAGTTGTATGTTCTGGGTGGGGCTGGTTTGTCTTTTTTGTGGTTTCGCCGTTTTTACTTGGAACTGGAAGTGAGGTCCGGTTATTTATTAATAAAATGTGTTTGCTGCGGATATGCTACTGATATCGAGAAGGGAAAACCCAAATTTGCGTTTATGGCATCGTTTATGTCATCGTTTATGGCATCGCTTGTGACATTATCGAATAATCAAACAAAGACCGGCGTATGTGAAATCCAAAACTCCGCCATTATCAGTTATACACTGTATCTTGTGGACTGCAAATTCTGCTTTTGAAAAACGACAAACAATAGTCTACGCTGAATGCACGCCTTCCATTACACTGGCAGCTTCATCAACAGACCAAAACTCCGTTATTGTTAAATATATAGTACTCTAATGTATCTTGTAGATTAATTTTGTTCTTGAAAACAACATACAATAGTCTACGATGAATACTCCGACCAAAACTCCGTCATTGTTAGTAAATTATATATACAGTACTTCAATGCATCTTATTCCATTTTTGAAAAGCGACAAACAATAGCCTATGCTGAATGTACATTTCCCATTATTTGTCAATGCTACAAGAACCACTCGCTGAAAAGCCGCTTCGTCAAAAACAGCAAGCATGCGCATTCTCAACAAAGAATGGATATAAAACTAGAAGTTACTTAAATATTATCATACGGAATGTTTCACGACAGTAGCTGAAAGGGGTGATTTATTGTGACGGCTAAGCCTCAACAGGATTTGTGCAATACTGATTGGTCGGTCAACGCCATCATTTGATGCCAGCCAACCGTTATTATGCATCTGGTGTCATAAACTGCTATAAAAATAAAGCTCAGGATCGATCCGTACTACAGTTAGTTGGTGTGACCATACATTGAACATTTCTTGAACAGTCGAACGATTACATCATATTCAACGAATAATCACTTTTATATTATAGATCAGTTGTATGCGTATATTTTTGTTTATCTGTGATGTAAAATGGGCGCTAATCTTCCATCTCATGCATGATGCAGAATAAAGAATAATGAATGGCAAGCCTCCAAACGTTTGTTCAGACCGTTTCAATAAGCAGCTGGTTCTCTTGTCTTCTAGCCAAATGGCATAACCAACAGTTACCATCCATGGGTATCATTTCACTCTGTAATTCTTGATTTTCTAAACAGACTTTTACTTTGTAACATGGCAGCCAAGTACTCTCTATGCTGCATGGTATTGAACAACGGCAATAAGCCAATAATTGAATGGCTCTTTCTCATATCTCTGTATCGACCCGCAGTTATGATTGATATCGGTATATCAAAAAGTCTCTTATGTTGTCAAAATTAGGACCAGTCTGTCTAAAATTGCTATCACGTCGGTACTTGTCTAAATACAGTATTAACGGCGGACATTTGCATCCGTAACTAAGTGCGTAGTAATGGACTTCCATCTCCGAAATCTATGTCGTTGGTTTGGAGATGAAAAAACGAATAACTGTTATAAGGTAAACTATATGGTATGGCAGTTTATGTTATTATGCTAAAAGATATAACCGTTTTCAGGTTAAGCAAGCACATAAATGATTTTGCTTCCGGTATTCAGCAGTATGGCTATCGTTGAATAATACAAATGATTAACTCACTCCGGCCAGTAAATTTGATCAACACAGCAAGTATGGTTGGAAATATAAGTATACCAGTTTATTTCATTGATAATGATAATAATAATAAACTCAGTGTTTATAGTTGACACGAAATATTAAAACTTAAAATGTATGACATTTGGTAAACTCATACGCGAGGAAGCATCGAATTCGATGAGAATAAACGACTAAAGATAGTTGACGTCAAGATTGGTGAAAAAGACACAAGTTATAAGAAAACGATACTCAATGAATCGGATTATTAAATAATCAATTATACATACCCGTTTAAGGTTGAATGACCAGAACGGCGTCCTGTTATATTTCCATTCGATGCCTCGCTGTTGATCGCCAATGTTAAATCCATTCACAATACGTTCTCTCTCATCCTCCAACTACAGTATAGCAAAACAATTGCAGAATTACGATCTTGCCTTTACATGTTTTCTATGTCGTTATATATCTCCATCTATTGCCTGCATATTCTACTTACCTGTAAACTCCAAACTACTGAGATATAGGTTAACATAGATTGTGTTACGAAATACATGGTCATTGCAAGATCTGCATTACGTCCGCTAAAGGTTCGCGACACAACAACAAAAATGATAGCGAAAAAATCCACTAGCGAAAAAAGAAGTTCAGCAAGACTGAGCCAAGCAAGGCGGACGGCGATTGGATCTAGCGGTTTATTAGAGCATCCACGTTCAGATAAAACTCATCCTGAGATATCTGAAGAAGCCGAATGTGAAAAGGTATGACACAATTGTAAGGAAACAAGCAATTAAACAGATGACAAACGATAAGGACTTTCAATAACAAAACTTAATATGATCTGTATAGTCTGTATTTTACTTACATAATCCTGCAGTTCTGTTGGATAAATCTACCGCCAAAAAATCGTGCTTGCATTTGTACGGTAACCATGATGTTGTAGTTTAGAGGTTTTTCTTAAAGCTAGAAGCTATTTAATGGGGGAGGTGAATACTGAGCCCCTTATGCTGTAAGACAAACTGCGGTTCGAATTAATGGTGTGGTTGGGTTAATAACTAATGATATCAATCTTATCAAGATCGTTTGCAAATTGTTTCTACAGTATTACTAGCAGCTGTTTGGTTGACAAGACAGAGAGAAGAGTAGATTGATGAGTAGTTCGACTCAAAAGACAGAGTTTGCAATAGCTGTTATAAAATATAAAACGTAATTTATTTGTCATAGTTGATATATTTATGTCTATAATGCTCCTCTCCATACGCAAGCATGTGCAAAAGTCCGGCTTTGACTATTATGACGTTATCTAATAATTATAATATATTTCGTTTATTTTAATAGTAGATTACACAACACGTCCCACTTATATCGTTTCGGACTCTATGTATATGCCTTTACTCCGAATGAGAATATATTATACTAAAAATATTTTCGCATTTACAATAAAATTTAGGGGCATTGTCTATGGTCTGCATGAAGTGCCGCATTGACTGGGGTGACAGAACTTATATAGCATACAAAGTATCTTAAATGGAGTTCTAAAACAGATGAATTTATTTGCTGTTGCAGTTATTTTCTACTGTTTACTATTAATTTTTTACTCCGAAAGGCAGAAAGAATATAAGTAAAATGTAAACTCCTGCCCCGTAAACAATATTTCACTTGGCATCCACTACTAATATGAATGCTAATACGAACTATAACTTGACTGATCATAAAATCTTACACAATAATTATTTAGACGGGTTAGCGACCGAACTTAAAGTAGAAATTATTCTCCACTTGAGTAATCCTACACCACTTGCTCGATGCTCCCGTGCTTGGTACGCCACAGTAAACTCACCTGCCACAAAAGCCAGGTGGCTGACCTGGAGATATGGTGAAACTCATGCATTGTTTCATGCAGTAAGAATGGGCGAGCCATTCATTAATGTTGGTGTCGTCGAGTGTCTATTTGCTCAAAAAGCCCATCTCAGCCGATACTTTATTCAGCGAGTGATGCTTGGATTTGGCAAGTACGACTGCAGGCTTATTGACCTCAAATTGACACACAACGTAAGACCGCTCGATCTGGATCGTAAGAAAATTATTCAAAGCAAGATCCGGAGTCCGTGGGCGAGCAATCTTTCCTTTGATGTTTTCTCCCGCATTCTCAAAGAGGGTCATGACAGATTCGATGGAAACAACATGCCAGTACGCGGAAATGACATGGAATCGTTTTATTATCTTTCGGCTGGTCCGCTAGTTATTAGCGAAGCAAGAAAAAAGCTGCAGGATAACATAAACGAAATTGAAAGGTTGATCACAACTTTTAGATTTGCGCCCTTTCCTTCAAGGCGAAGGCATATTCCTGAGAGTACAGAGTCACGCTCTGTTAACTACGACGACTATCCACCTGCTGATGGCTACGAGAATGTTCGCCAATTGAATGTCATTGCTCGGGCTATACTTATCCAACCCAATTTAGTGAATGTCTGGAAAAAAATTGGATACAATGAAATTGTCCACGATGTAAATGATCTTGTCATGCAAGGCTCGTTATTAATTCTTTATCCCCCCACCCCAACAGCCTGTTGGGTTAAGCCAGGTTTAGATCAAGTTGTTAAACAACTAAAAGATCTGCAAAACATTGGATTCAAACTAACAGATGGGTTGATCGGAGACGCTCTGGTTCTATTCGAGCATAGGTTGAAAGATATAGGAGAAGTATTGATAGATGCATTTGTCATTGTTCGCGATCTGAATAGCAACACAATACTTTCTACATGCTTGAGAGAACTGTTGCATCCAGACAAAAGCCTCAAGCGACATGATGTGCTAGATTATATACTTGATCGAATTGATGACCCCCAATTTGAAATTATCTCTGCCCTTGAAAATTACGGGATTGTTGATAATAACCTCCTAGACATGGCTAAGTTAACCTTACATACACGCCTTCAGTACACGCCTATCGTATATCGCTACATGTTGGTAAAATTTGGCAAACAATCTCTAGTTACAAAGCATTTGATGAGAGAGATTATAATGGTAAAAATAGCGACATCTCAGTCAACAAACTCGCCTCAACATGCGGCCGAATCGAATACTATTTTTAACGAATACTACAAGGCCAAAGTTCCGTTTGAGCCACAATGTTTACAATTGATCAAAACATGCTCGAGTGATTTTATAGTCAAATGCGTATTTGAAGGATACTTGGCCAAACTTTTTAATTTCAAGGTCAATTTTCATCCGCCGCGGACAGCTCGAGCTCCGGACTTGAAGGAAGTCACCCCATTTATGCAAGCAAATTCCAAGAAACGGACAAACAAGCACGTAAAGAAAGAAAAATCGGATTTGCAACAAGAGTGGCAAAACGTCCTTTATGAATGCTATCATGGAAAAGGAGAATTTACCGATGTGTTCAGAACACAAATTCACAAGTTTATCAAGCGCTTAGATTCGTTGAAAGAGGGTAACAATTTTGGAAGTCATTCGAAACAGCCAAAATTGCTAAAATTTGTTCACGAAGAACTCTTGACGACTTCAATTCTGAACTAGACATTCGAGAAAACCCGCAAGAAGGAAGTTCTGCCCAAGCCCAAGTAGAAGTCCCTTCCAACAATAACCATACCGACTTTGGTGAATTGGATCTAGTGGCTAAGTATTCTCAGATGTCAATATCTGTTGTGGACGAACTCTTTTGTCTGTCTGCTAACCAAAATATTTATTCGAGAATAAATGCCTTTTTCGAAACACTTTTGTGGAATAAATTATATGAACTTATGAATAGTAGTTAGTCGTTCATGGACTAATCATCATACTAATACATCAGTAACAATTTCCCAAAACTGCTTTACTATTTTATATCAATATCAGTTTATGCAGGAATCTGATATCTGATAGAAAAACAGCTACATTGGTTTTCTGAGATTTGGCTGTAGAACAAATTTGGCTGTGAATAAACAAATGTAGTGTTTAATATTAAACTACTGACAGCTCAAACATGTCCATCTGATTAACATTGTTTTTGTTGTATCATTCATAAACTGATATATTTTTTGTCATAGTTTTAGATTGCATACATAGTAATAGCAACATACAGTGTGGGAAGAAAAAACTTGCCCTCTATATATGCGTGATAAAATGTCGCGTAAACAAAAAATTTATTATAAATATCACCTCGTAGCACACTGTTTAGCATATTTCGCCTTGAATTGTTTTGTTATTAAAATTTTCCATAATAATAAATCATTCTTAAAATGCCTTTACAAAATAAAAAACCTCATCCTGAAATTATCTTACATTTCTGGAACAATCTCCCAAAGAAATTCATAAAATCACAAACTAAAACATTCCACTCCACCATAACTGTCAAATATTACATTAAAAAATTAAGGAAACTAGCAGCATTGAACATAAGAAAGGAAGTGGTTGCCCTAAAAATATTATTGGAAATACATCTGTTGCTATTGGTCAATATTTAAGACGATCCCACTACATCAACTCGAAAATTGGAAGCAAAGTTGGCAGAAAAAGGCTTAGTGTGTCCTATAGAACAATTTCGAAGCATTTGGGTAGCTTGGGTTATAAAAATAATGCTTACCAAGGCACACAAGGAGAAACAAGTAGAATGGGCCTATTACTATGCTCATCTTAATGACAACTTAAACTGGAATACAACCATTTTTCTGATGAAACAGCTTTCCAGTTATTCAGGAATACCATTACACAATGGTATAAAGGCTCATAGCCAATTCACCCCATTCCATAAAAATTTTTGCCTGGGAAAGACAAGCCTATTTTGCTTTCAGCAAATAATGACTGGACCACAAATGTCTGGCACTTTCAGCAAGACAATGATCCTAAGCAACTAGCCATGTTGCTTCAGAATTGCTTTGAGCAAACATGCCTGAGGTCATGGACTGGCTATCTAATAGTCCAGACCTCAACCCCATAGAAAACTTATGGAGTATTGCTAAGAGAAATGTAGAGAAATGGCAACCAAAAAAATCTTAATTACTATTAACAAAATGATTTGCATTGACAGTGACTGAGGGCCTTCTCAATAGCTTTGATGCCCGATCAAATTTGGATGTCGTACAAAGTAGGGGCATCAGCTCTCAACAGCTTTCTAAATAGAGTAATACCATATTTACCTTTATCGTTATGTGATTAAATTCATATGTGACATTAAGCATACGCGCATAAATAACGCCCTCTCGTATGAGACTGTTATACTGTTAATGATAATGTTATCTATCAGCCGGAAAGACTTATTGCCTTCATAGTAACAGAAGTAATAAAATCCAAATAAGAATTTGATGCAAGATTAATTGATATAGAATTAGCATTTCTGTTTGATGTCAAGGATTAATCGTACACCTCGTTTACTTTGGCCAAAAACAATGGCTTATTGGACAGACATATTTCCATATC